ATTTAAGTGAAAGGTATGAAAATCTGAGAAAAAGTAATTGCTTAATTTTTATGCATACGGCCCAAGGTGTTATTGACAACTCAGTGGNCATGGGTGTATTAAACAAGGTGCCGTACGCATAAAACCTAAGCAAATGCTTTTTCTTAAAATTTCAGACCTTTCACTCAGTTTTTTCAAATAAATTTAAGTGAAAGGTATGAAAATCTGAGAAAAAGTAATTGCTTAATTTTTATGCATACGGCCCAAGGTGTTATTGACAACTCAGTGGGGCTCTCTTTTAAGATACTATTATGTAAAAAAATATAAACAAACGATTCAAAATTCATACAAATTTTTTTCAATTTGACTTTATAGGATGGTTCTTCTGAGAGCAATTTCAAATTCAATCACACTTTGTTAAATACATTTTGATCTCTACCAAATAATGTACTTCCTCTTTAAATATTTTATGAAGTGTTCCAAAATTCGCTCCGAGCGCGCTCTGTTGATCATTTGATTTAAATAGTTTGTCAAACAATTAATACTATAGTTTGATCGGAAATTATATATTCTTAAGTAATTGATCACATTTTATTAAAATATAAACGTTTAATAGGGTAGAAAGTTAGAAATAATTTACTGTTAATATGCATAATTCGCTCAGTGTTCCGAAATTCGCTCCTAGTGAGTTCAATATTGATCATTTGATTTAAATAATTGTTTCTCAATCACTCAGTTTTATAGTTTGATCGAAAACTATATATTCTTAAGTAATTGATCACATTTTATTAAAATATAAACGTTTAATAGGGTTGAAATTGTGAAATTACTACTGCAACTACTCGTGAAAACTTACAATAAAAGCAATGTAGATGAAAGTACTAAATATTATTATTAAAATTAGATCCATATATAAAACATTTTACATCATTTATTTGAAGTAAATCGGAATATATTTTTACATATAAGATAGTTTCCATTTAACTCATAAAGTACATATTTCACTACAAATATTTTTAAGATCATTTCGAATTGCAAAAATAGCGCTAATTAGTTGTATTGAAGTATAAAACATTTTATTACGTCCATGTTTACTTATAAAGCGCATAACAATATTTCTCTCGCCATTTATCCGATGATAAAATTTTTCACCACATTATTTTGCTGCACAGCACCCTGAATGCGGCAAAACAGTTGCTGGCAACCCTCAAGTCCTTTATGGGGACCAAATTAACAGCCACAACAACAAAAACCTTTTCTACTGGTATACTGTGCTCAGCAACAACTGATTTGATTTGCTTTGCCGAAGTGCTAGCAAAGCATCAGTCAATCGTCAATTATCGTAAGACGCACGAAGACGATCATATCATAAAGGCCCGTCCACATACAACTTTGGCGTTGCGTTGGCGTTGGCGTCGCTTTGACAGCAGCGCGAGTGGCGTGTGTTCTTGCTACAATGAACGTTTTGACAGCGCCGGCGATGACATTTGTTCAAGCCACGTGGTAGAGTAAACAACCGGGAAATAAGAAAAAGTTTATAATTTAGTTAATAAAACGCATACAAATATAACAAAGCCGAATTACTTACGGCGGTATAGCTTCATAGGAAGGCGGCCCAATAATTTAAATCATCAAATAGACATTTGTTTTGTTTTTGCCAGTGAAAATATTTGTGTATCCTCGAGCGTTATTAAAAAAATGATGTTATCTTTTATCGAAATAATATTAATAGTGCTACTTAGGTACGAGCCTCGCGAGTGTTTGAAGAAAATTAATTCTCGGCGGCGGGAGTGGGTAAGACCTCTTTACTTAAGTCGCGACATTGATGGACTATTTGTAACCAGTTTTGACGAAATGTACAAAAATGACCCGGAGCAGTTCAAAACTACGGTGAGGATGACTAAGGAGGTGTTTGATTTGCTCTTTGGGCTCGTGATGGAACGCCTCATAAAGTATTCCAACAGGCCGTCAATTTCTGCAGAAATGAGACTATTCTTAACATTGAAGTAAGTAAATATTTCTAAAGAAAATTTCATACTAATTTGTGTGCATTACATTCATAGTTTCCTAGCACACGGGGGAACTCAGCATTTGTACGCTACAGCGTATAAAGTGGGTCGCTCCACAGTCAACAAAATAATTTTGGAAACCTGCGAAGGACTTCAACACTATTTGGGATTTCGCGAACTGTGTGGGCGCAATCGACGGAAAGCACATCACTTTAAAATGTCTTTCCAACTCCGGATCTCTTTTTTACAATTACAAGGGTACCTACTCCATCGTATTATTAGCATGTTGCGATGCGAATTACACATTTACTTCTATCGATATTGGTGCGTACGGTTCGCAAAGCGACGGCGGTGTGCTTTGGAATTCTGGATTTGGTCAAAGGCTGTTCCATGATCAACTAGACCTGCCTGAGGATGACATTTTACCAGACAGCAATATTAAGTTTCCGCATTATTTCGTTGGAGATGCAGCATTTCCTTTAAAAAAAAATTTAATGCGACCATATCCTGGTTAGTATACGGAAAATGTATTGCATAGAAAATGGTTATGTTGAAAGTTGCATTTATAGTTTGGAAATAAAAGAGTCTGATGCTTTGCATTGATAAAACTTGCAACTCAACCATTATTTGCATCTATACTATGTGCATATGTATGTACATACAAATAAGCCTTTTTTAATTTCAGGATTGCATCTGCCACCCGATCGTGAAAATTTTAATAAGCGCCTTTCAAGAGCTCGGCGTGTTATTGAAAACGCCTTCGGAATTATAACAGCACGATGGAGGATTTTGCTATTCATATTTTTGATGCTGGCTGTTTTTATATATAGTGGGTTCAAAATAATAGCAGCAAAATTCAAAATGACGCTTTTGGCAACTTATATTTATTTATTTTTTGTTAATAATTTTCATTTAAAATAAGGGTCGATCTATATCAGATACCACATAAATAAAAGTTTCAAAGCTTATACAAAGTTTTGTAGCCCATTCAATTTTAGTATAATAAAGTGCAAGTTTCAAGTCGCAAAAAATTACCGTTGATTTTTGAGAATTTTTCTTGTGGAGGGTGTTGCGCATTTCTGCCATATAAAAGTAAGTTTATTTCATGCATTATACGGAAGAAAATGAGAAACACCCTCCACAAGAAAAATTCTCAAAAATCAAATGTAATTTTTTTGCGACTTGAAACTTTCACTTTATTATACTAAAATTCAATGGGCTACAAAACTTCTAAATTTTCTAAAGATTCTCATTAAAAAGTTTGAAATTTTGTTGTCAACTTTGAAAATGATTAACAATAAATAAATAAAGATAAGTCGCCAACAGCATCATTTTGATTTTGCTGCTATTATTTGAACGCCACGTATATGTATTTCTTACATTAAACATTTCCATTTCCCTTTGCAGGGATTTCTTGCACATAGCATAACCACCACCATCATATAAATCCATATTTGAAACTTCGTAAAAGTCAAAATGTCACTTAGCTTAATCAGCTGACCCCAAGTGTGTATGTACATATATGTAATTTTATAAAAATTATTCAGTCTTTTATTTACTACAGGGTAATTCACAAGGGTACTGATTATTAAAGAACAATTATCGAATTTAATAAACATAAATTAATGAAAAGTAAAAGAACTTCAAGAAACAAGAAACGAAATATAAATAGGGTGTGTTCAGAAATGCATCAAGCCAAAGCATCAAATGCATTTATTTCTAAACTATAATTGATGGAAATGTCCAATATGCGCAACCACAGTTAAATGCCTAATTGGACCCTAGTTGCGTAAATAACACATTTCCATAAATAATAGTTTAGAAATAAATGCGTTTGATGCTTTGGCTTGATGCATTTCTAAACACACCCATACATTTGTGATCAGCTAATTAAGGCAACCAACATTTTGATAAATTTTATGTTTAAGGTTTATTTTTCCATAAAAGTCTATCTCGTTATTATAACAAACACCAATCCACATTTCAGACTTTGTGCAAAAATTATAAGAAATCTGCAAAGTTGCATCTAAATTTTCATATTTTTTTATCAGATTTTTTAGTAATGTTTTGAGTATGGAGTTTTATAGCCCATTAAATGCTAGTATAAATACACACATCTGAAAAATCTGATAAAAAATATGAAAATTTAGATGCAACTTTGCAGATTTCTTATAATTTTTGCACAAAGTCTGAAATGTGGATTCGTGTTTGTTATAATAACGAGATAGACTTTTATGGAAAAATAAACCTTAAACATAAAATTTATCAAAACGTTGCTGGCTGGTCACAAGTGTATCTGTGGAATTTTGGCAAAAACACTTATTTAATTTTATAAAATACCAAATCCGAAAGCTTTAATAATTGCCGCAATTATAGTTGAAAACATAGTTGAGTATCACAACTTTGATTGGGCCTGCTCCGGATGTTTCAATACATAGCTGTCCAGAACTTTATAAAACTCAAAATTGCGGCTATTATTAAAGCTTTCGGATTTGGAGCCAACAAATTCATTGACCGCCACGCATAGTGATCCGAACCTCTCGTTCGCCTCGTCTTCTACACGACGCCGTTTATTTTTTTTTGCGCTGTTGGACTGCTCCGTGTCGTTTGCCGGAACAGAAGGAAGAGGAGAGCTTACTTCATACTCCTCATAATAAGAGGTTTCGGTCACGTTGCACGGGCTGATGCCGTTTATTTCCTCCTCCTGTGAAGTAAAATCCAGATTGGAAAATGTTCTGAAAATAAATAGACAAACATAGATTAAAACTTAAGTATATATACACATAAGAACATATCGAGTGCTGAGTGGAAGATCGACCTATCTCGGCAGCCAGTTCGAAAACGCCCTACCTCAAAAAACTTTTCAAGAACGCCCTATTTCAGAATTCGTCTCAAAAACGCCCTATCTCAGCTGCCGATTCAAAAACGCCCTATGTCAGCACATTTTCAATACATTTTGAAGTGAGATAGGCCGTTTTTGAACCGAATTCTGAGATAGGGTGTTTTTCAATAAAACTCTGAAATAGGGCGTTCTTGTAAAGTTTTTTGAGATAGGGCGTTTTCGAACTGGCTGTCGAGATAGGTTGATCTTCCATTCAGCAGTCGATATAGGAATTTTCAATTAAAATAGAGTTCTATTTCTAACAAAACCCAAAAACTTTGTAGAAAACCATGATCCAAAAATAAATAAATAAAATATTTAAATAAATAAATAAATAAATAATAATAATAATAACAACATTTAAGTATATGTATCATGGTGGAAAACGACAAAAAATGCAACGAATTTTCACGCAAATTTCAAACTTCTTTCCCAGAATTGTTAGAATTTGTTTGAGTACACAGTTTGATAGCCCTTTAAATTATAGTGCGATAATGGCTGCGTTTCTTTATACATTCCGGATAATCCCATTTCACAGCCGGAATAAACAGAATGAGTTTGAAATATACGTCAACATATCATCAGGAACGTTCTAAAGAATAAATAAACAAAAAAGTTTATTCCAAACATTCCGAATGAATAAAGAAATGCAGCCAATAATAAGCATGAGTGGGAAACAAATATCACTTTGAAATTGGGATGCTATTGGTATGACCGACATTTTATTTTTTTGTTAACTTACTTTCGAGGAGCAACGAAGTCTCGCATAAAATCCATGGCTTCCAAATATTGCCATGTGGCTCCATCTTCGGCACCAGATCCTGACTTCTTCTTCTGTAAGCCTGTCTCCCGGACGAAGCGGTCTCTGAGAGACTTCCACCTTGTTTGGCAGTTAGTCGCTATTGGAAGAATTAAATAAGGTAATTTTTTTATATATTTATATACATATACATATATACAATTACATACCAGGTACTCCCACAGCGCATGCAACGGCATCCCAAGCCTTTTCTTTTAATAATTTATCGTAAAGGCAGCTGTGTGCCCTGACCGCCTCTAGTAACTTCTCCTCCANTAATACATTCAAATACCTAGGAATAAAAATCGATGACAAATTGAACTTTAATGAACACTTTGGCCCGTAGTCATAGTCAAAATAAAGTCGACTTTAAAGTTAGTTGCAGCTTTTTGACATAATTTTCAATGGGATATCTGTCAAAAAAGCTGCAACTAACTTTAAAGTCGACTTTATTTTGACTATGACTACGGGCCATTGTAAATATTGAACTTAAATACCAACGTGGGTAAAAGTGCACTTAAGCGGAACCTGCCCAAAATCCATCCAAAAAAAGTCAAGAGGGGTATCAAACGACGCCAATAATTTTCCAGGTACTTCACGATTTGCAGGAATTTATAGGAAGCTGTTCCCGGACGACACCTGCATCCAACTCCTTTTTTGGGTGGCGGACTTCGGCCGCGCTTAGGGCCTATAACCCTTACTAAGTAGAATTCTCTTTTCTGTGTTGCCGGAGAAGAGGGGCGGATGCATCTCTGCATAGGCGGCCTTTGCGTGAAATTCATCAAAAGAAGGTACGCAAAGTGGAAGTGTTTTTATTTCCGCTTTCGAATTATTGTTATTAGTTGCGTTCTAGATCTGCAGGAAAAGCTGTTTTCTCCATAAATAAACCTTATGAAAGGTGGTCACCTGGAACAGCTTCCTGTAAAAATCTGCAAATCGTGAAGCAACTATTGGCGTCGATGATGATCATCTTTTAGATGAGTTTTGCGCAGGTCCCGCCCAAGTGCACTACTACTCCAACGTGGATTGCATTTTAGAATTTTTACTTACCTTGTTTTAAATTTAATCCGCAATGTTTTTTTTGGGGTATATCTTTAATTCTAATTGATTTCAGCCAAATTTTTACAAAAGCTGGAAAAATGTTGTTCACCCACGCTCAATGAAAATTGTGTATCAGCTGTTTGTCAACGCGCGCAAAAAGTTGAGAGTTGGCCATCTTTCTGCGTTGTGTTGGCGTTGGCGTTGCCCAACTTTGGTTATGTCGAGACTTTCATATAAATGCATGTATTCATAGTCAGCTGTCGAAGCGACGCCAACGCCAACGCAACGCCAAAGTTGTATGTAAACGGGCCTTAAATGTTGCCACGTCGCAGCAAGCAATGTTGTTTTTTGTTGTAGAAAATGCCCATTCATTAATGAACAAATTAAAAAAAAAAGAAGTTTCAAGATCTGAAAGTTTTTTAACTTAAGGTGGTAGAACTAGTAGAAATGTAATTTAGCAAAAAAAAGTGTTATCTATTCCACAAATGTGGTAAAGTCCGAGCACTGGCTGGTGAACCAAACTTCGCTGCTTCGCACACAAGCGCATGTGTGTGATAGTGTGAGTGCCCACCTCTGCCCTAAATCTTAGCATCGCAGCAATTGCCACACACTGGGTTCGTAATTCTTTCAGTGCAGTTTTCGGGTTTGTGTTCACTCATGCATTTACAGCATCGTAGTTTGTTTTTGCAATTATTAGCACTATGATTGAAACCCAAGAACTCTTCACTATCTGTCCGTCATAAACTGGGCAGCGATCCCATCCAATATTCAATCTCTTAGATTCTAGGACCTGCACAAAGACTTTATGCTCTACCTCGATTAATGCATTAAATGATGTTGAAGTCACGCTATTTCTTTTTGGTTTAAAAACTTTTAAACATTTTAAGTTTGCATCAGCCAAGTACATATTTTGTGATTTTATTTTGCTTATGACCTCTGTTTCAGTGTATGCAGCGTTTATACGGGTTATCAGTATTTTTGGCCTGTTCATATTAGGTTCAGAGATCTCATATTGTTCCTTATTAAGATTATTAGCTAGAGTAGATTTAATTTTCTCTTTCTCAGTAACACTGTTGGCATTTATTACAACCGCCCCATTCTCCTTATTAGACACTTTGTCAATTTTCATATTAGTGGCATCGATTTTATTAAGATCCACCCTAGTTTTCTCAGCCGCTTGCTTATTTTTTGGCTTAATTATTATTGGAGGTACACCTTTTACTGCATTAGCATACGATGCACCCACACTACGCTGTAAGTTCTCTTTACTCTGACATGCAGCTTTCTTAACTTCCGCAATAATGTCATCTTTTTGCTTGCATATCTCAGTAGTTGATGCACCTACTCTTGATATTTGATCTTTGTTGGTCTTACACAGACGTTCTACCCTCTTTATTAGTTCTAATTTCTCTTGGTTAGTTTTTTTGATGTTATCCATTGTAATGGCATCGCTAACAATACGGCAGCGCTATTCAGCCGTCGTAATGTTGGTAGCCCTGTCGGAACATACGTTCCACAGGTACATAATATGAATGAAAAACCGAACGTTCAATTCATTCTGATATAGATACTTTAACTGTGAGGTTGCAAGAAATTTAGAACGGCAATAAAAATACAATTAAATAGTAAAAATTAAATCAAAGTTGTTTTTAATTAACATTGTTTAAGCGAATGTAGTTTTCGCGAGTGTAATTTCTAAATTCTAAATATTACGTCCGGCCGAATATCTAGCGGCCACGCGCAACTACCAGCATATTAGGGGTGCCGCGTATACCGGAGCACCCGGCGTGGAACTACTGCGCGGATTCGACCAGCCATTTGGTACCAGCGGACTCCTGGTAACGACAACAGCTGGAGTTCACTGGGGTAAGCAGTGCACTAAAAATTAAACTGTGTGGTGTGGTAGCGGGCGGTAAGGTGGCGGCACAAAGGGCACGAGATGGCGACCGTGACGGTGAGCATGAGGCAAAATTTTTTTGACACCCTGGACGTCAGGCGTGTCTAGTGGGCTTCGGGCGCGATACAGTGTCGGTGGTGGTGGCGAGCAGAGTTTCTTTGCGGTAGGCAATAACGGGGTGCTGTACAACGTCGCCCGTATAGCGCCGCAAACAAATCCGCGCTGCCTTTTCGTCCCGTGCATTTTTGTACATAACGGAGAGCCCTGCCATCACCAACGGCAGCAGTACGAAATAACTCGCATAACGCCACATATAACGGCACGTAAAACGGCACGCTGCATTTTTACAAACTGCGTAGGGTATAACCGAGAGCCCTGCTGCCATCAACAACAACAGCAGCAGCAGCACAAACCCGTATATGTACGCATAAGCGATACAGCACCGCCATAAACCCACGCTATGCGATAACGGATTACCACCACACCAGCAACTATACACAAACGGGAAACACGAACCAAAGACTGCGGCGACTTTTTGTACAGACTGCATCGAGGGAGTCGGGCAGTTCGGGTGACTCAATCAGGCGTATATATATATATTTTTTTCCCCTCCACATTTATATTTAAATACAAAATTTGATTTCAACCATTATTTAAAATTTCTTTAAACTAAAAACAAGAAAAAGAAAATTTTCTTAAGCATTTCTTTGCGCTAGACAAATAGCCTCACTTAGAAAACAAATTTTTTAAATGAATTCAATTTGTGGAAAAAAATTAAACAAAAAAAGTTACTGCAAGCTGATTATAAAGAAATTAACTACTATCCGAAAAATTAATATATTTTTCAAACAAAACAACAAGAAAAACAAATGTAAAGTGAAAGAAATGAATTTTGAAAACGGGTTTTTCTCATGCATTAAATAATATTAAACACTTGTGTTAAGCGGCCTCATGTTCGAAAAAAGGGAGCTAAAGCTAAATTTAGGGCGCGTTTCTACTTTTAAAATGTCATTAAATCAAAATGACCTCTGCAACTCAGATTTTCAATTAATAATTCGTTGAAAAAAGTGAACCACCACAATTCTTTTTCAAAATTCGTACTTTTATTATACTATAAGTGAACCACCATAATTCTTTTTCAAAATTCATACTTTTATTATACTATAAGTGAACCACCATAATTCTTTTTCAAAATTCATACTTTTATTAGACTATAAGGGACCTTTTTCATACAACCAATTAATTCATTATTATATCCATTTTTCATACTAACTCATATTAAACTATAAGGGACGTTCTTATATCAATCACATTCAAACTTAAAATTGTTACCTATTAGACTTTAAGTGACGGGAGTGACTCATTGAATTGAAAATATTTTTTTTCCTACTTTTTCCAAAATACGATTTACTAAAGTAATCGAAACCTAAATACATTTTAATATAACCGACATTTATACCATATTCCTATGTAAATGTGACAATACATGCCTATATTACCAAAATTGAAACTTTTCCTTAAATATATGCATTGTAACATTTAAATACAACTTGAACTCTTTTGGCTTGCATGTGAATACAACCCAATATTCCCTCTGCATGAAAACGACCATATTTTTGCATGCAAATTTTCACCCGATGACCTACTGAGAAAAACATACACTTCCACTTCTTTGAGATTAGCCGGTTATGAGCGAAGTCGATATACAATTTAAAGCATCTAAAGCAGATTTTGATAAGATTACTAAGCGCATTTTACAAAGTAGACCGTTGTCTACGAATGCGAAAAAATTTAACGAATATAAATATTCGCTTATCACAGCGTACAATAATATTTTATTACTAGTTATTGGTAATAGTTCGGCCCATACCTGTTATCTCAAGGAAGTTCAAGTTAAATTAGCCCGTTGCAAGGAACAGTTAGCAAAGTGCTTTAATAAACTGAATTGTCGCGTTAGGATTCCACCTGATAGCTAATCGCTAATTTGTCAATCAGACCTAGCTGACTCTGAGTCAGAAGAAGAGTTTAGTGACGCCAAGTCAGAAGCTTCGGTACAATTCAGTCTTAAAAGAAGTACTTCACTTCCATCATTTAAAGGTCTGCTAACTGTATCCGACGAGCCGTC